GGAAAATTTAAGGAGTTATTATTATGTACGTTTAGATGATACAACCGGTAGGATACTTTTGCACGTTACTGTAATTACTTAAATAATATCTATCCCTCATTGCAAGGATATGCGGCACTTTTCGGAAATAGCCCTTATTCGAAAACTGTTTCAATGATAATAGATAGATGTTCCACAATCGTTATCTGCTTGGTATTTGATCGCCTGCAATTATAAAAACTCTGAATACAGTGTATTTCGCGTCAATCCTGTTTATGTGGACATTAGATAATTACCATCATACCTATATAAATTGGAAAGATCTGTTGGTTTAACATTTATTAAACGGTTAAAACGTATAATAAAAAAGCGTATAACCGTCATTGCAATGCAGCCGTTAAAGTTCTACTTCCTTAGCTATCGTATAACAAAAGCTTTATAAGGCTTTTCGATAACAAGTTTATATGCATGCTATACGCCACGACAATTTCAACGTGGTTGTACCAAAGCAGCATACTACTGCATTAGGTGAAAGTCGTATGGTAAAACGTGCGTGTTAATTTATGGAGTTCTGCGTTCTTTTATTGTCTACACTTACGATTGAACGCGAAAAGTGTACCGCGTGTTAATTTATGGCACCTGACTTGCACCTTACTGTTTGAAGAAAACTTTCCGATAAACAAAAAAAAGCAATATAATAAACTGTTAGAGCTAGTGGAGAGTTTATTTATATCTATAGGACATGTCTATTGTTGTTGTATCTCGGATTATTAAATTAATATCTGACGTGGTTAAATGCCACACAAATCACAGTCAACATCGCTGTCAATAATGTGGCGCTGCCGTTCGTCACTGCAACTGATGCTTTATTCGAATTGCTCGACGGTTTATTGGTTGCGCTTGCGCCAGCGGAACTAGTTGTGGTTGACGTACTGCTTCCCCCAGCAGTCGCATCTCCAGTCCCAGCAGGCGGATTATCTCCAGGGGTGGTGGTAGTACTATTCCCAGTCGTATTATCAGGTGAAGGAGCAGATGCGGGGGTTTGGGGTGCTGCAAAAAATAATAAATTTTTGTCAGTTGACCTGAAAAGCTCAAATGGTAAACGCAAAAAAATATATAATATATACTGACCAGGTTGGGCCAACGATTTTGCAGTGCCCTTCCCGTTAAATGTAAAGGCATGTGTATATCTGAAACCCAACGTTGGAATGAACAGCAACGATCAGTAACCAGGCTAACCATCGAGGCTAATATGACTTGCAATATGCATCTGTAACTACTTACCTCCACCATTGGTCAGTCCCAACGCGAACAAAATAGTCTGTTCCCTGTGCAAAGTCGGGAACTTTGGCCCAAGTATACGTTTGGGCCCCCACAGGAACATCTGTTGCAATGTGTGCCACTATGTTGGCATTTGCAAAGTCTCCTTCCATCAAGTCTAATTGGAAATAAGAAATATATAAATTCTTTAGCGGCAAGGTTTTCTTTCATGAATATGAGCCAGTGAATATCTTACCAATGTTAATTTGGGTGACATCGGGATTGGGTTTAAAGTCTTTATCTTTTGCAGTCAAGATAACCCAGGCTATTTTCTGGTCTTTCCCGGCTGTCCAAATTGTTGCGGCAACGGGGTTGATGATCTGTCAGTAATTGCTATAAGATTAGTTTGTGTGCGATGTTAGTTCGCTTATAGAATAATTGTTAACGTACCATCCAGTCCTGCGCTGCGGAAACTAAACCAATTATGGTGAGGAGAAGAGGGATAATGAAGACAGTCCTCATGGTGAATTGCTGTTAAGCCGAGGAGAGTGAAGAGGAAGCGAGACTGGATGTTGTTAAAGAGAGTAAGAGCTTGGTTAGCTCGTGGGTAATATTTACGGATGAGTGTTAAGGATAAGCATGTCAAAAGAGCATCAGAAGCTGTTTAAATTGATTGTAGAGACGTTGTGTATTGTTCTACAATGCGATAAACGAAGAAAACGTTATGGTTTCGTTGCGTGATACTATGCAATAACAGTAACATATCCATTGATCACAACAGTATGGTAAATTTCAATTTGCAGTTTATTTCTGGAACTAGCCAAGGCTTCATAGGTGCCCCATATTGCTGTTGTGTCTTGTTGTCCAATTAAATGATATGCGCACTGTTATTTCCGTTGTATGCCGTGTATATAAACATTTATTGCCTATTAAAAGCAGCTATACTTGATTGCGTTGTTACACACGGCGATCGAGCATTTGAAATCTATTAGTGTATCAGCACATCCTTTTGTTCTGCTATTACTTCTAAGCTTCAACGTGGTTATTATGTTTTTGAAAAAACTGCGTCAACTCTGCATTTAGATCTGTGAGAGCTGTCGTAAACTCGGAACCAAACTCAATTGCACTGTCCGTCAGATTGCATTTCCATAGATATTGACGAATTTTGCGAATACTGACAATCAAGTCATCTGATGGAAGAGAGGGTTCGGATTGTGTCGTCATTGATCGGCTGGGTAATGATAGAATACTCCTATGAGAAATACTATGCAGCCTCACGGTGCGCGATCGTCTGTTATTCCCTCCAAATGCAGCAATCCATTGGCTTACTTCTAGTTTAATATCATTATTAATAGTATAATTTGTAGCCATATTTTTGGTAAATTTCACGATAAGCTCCTGATATTCTTGTGGCACTAAAGTTCGTATAATTTCTAGATGATGAGTATGCTGTACAAAATAAACCTTTTGGGCATACAGTCAATGTTAGCGCACATAATGTAGCCTCGAAACAGAAATTAATGACGTACAATACCGACTGTTTGTGCGATTGACTCGTGCTGAACTACCCAATGAGTACTACGTAATAGTTCGTTACAGATAAATGCAAATGCATCAAATGCAGCCGCCTAGAAACAAATGAGAAATTGATAACTGCATTCTACCTAAAGTCAAACCAATGATTTCTGTGCTTACCTTATTATCTTCATCAAGCTCTAAGTCTGCACATTTACCTATGAAGCTGCAAACAGGCATCAGGCATACGCAGGCCGCAAAAAACGAATTTGAAGAGAGCCATCCAGCTATCGAATCCAAAATCTAAATGAAAACTTACATGTCAGCAGAAATACCTAGCAAAATGTGCGAGTTAAACACAACTCACGTGCATACTATCCGTCGTAGACAATGGCTGGAGGCTTGTTAGTAATGTTAAAGATGCCTCGAGACTAAGGACAAGTCGCTTCGATGACCAAATATAAAATATGGGTTATAATTAATGAAACGTAAAAAGTACCGATAGTGTGCATTTATACCTCTAAGTTTGTCTTTGATATCTTTGGGACGTTCCCAGAAACAGCAAGTCCCGTTATCTTTCGCAAAGCCTCTGTAGCCAGGTCGACAAGTCTAGTTTTGATGTCGGATTCAATTTCTCTTTTTCTTGCAATATGTCTTGCAAGATGGATGACTTCTGTCTGCAAGATATATAGTATTAATACGCATAAATACTGGAATAAAACATTAGCTATTATAGTTACGAACTATCGAAAATAAGACATTATAAAGCGATGATGTCTCTTCGTCCATTAACCGATTCAAAAATTTCCATACGTCCGCACACGCAATAAGTAGTTTCTGTACAGTATACGAAGTATTATTAGAAGATCGCGATTGCATCGTAGAACTTTAGCAAACGGTCAAACCTTTTTATCTATATCCGCATCGTTTTCGATCCGAGCTATACAATATCTACTCAGACATTTCACAGCGTATTTGTCGGCAATATTCAACTAGTGCAGACATCATACACAATTAAATACAGCCTCTGATGTGTTGGTCAATTCAGTCTTAAATCAAACTTTCATAAACCTGATTTTCCGGTGGCAGATAATAAGATAAGCGATTGATAAGCCTTCGTAATCTTCGGTAAGGCCGAGAGTTGATTGCTAGATGTGAAAGCTGTTGACAAGCCCATGGAGACAGCATCAATAATAAGCTTTCATTGAAAATAAGTATCGAACGAGATCCTTACCAAATCTATCAGAAATCGAATTTGGTTATCTAGCTCGATCGGGTTTAGAGATCTAGCAACACAACCCCAACAATCAATGATTATCCCGCATAGAAAATGACTTCTTGACAGTAGTAATGCTTCCAATAGTCTCATTTCCCAAACAACAAATAGTGTCGGTGGCAGAATGTTTCCCAATACAGTTATAGTTACAACGATCTGAACATACAGCGCGTCATTGACTGGGCGAGAATTTTCGTCGATCGAATCTGATAGTTCGGAATAATCATTAAACTTTGGGCTCCCTGATGCAGTAATACGTTCAATGAAATAGTCATCTACAAGTTTAAAGAAAGTTCTTAGCAAAAAACAATTCTGTGCTCCTGTTTCACTATCCGTTGGTGCTGACACAAGGCGAGTTTGAATCTGGATTGGATAGCCACAGAAATTCTGTAGTATCGTCTGTAGGTACTGTATCTTGGCATACATAATTTCCACTTCCCCTATCGAAGTTACAGTGGTTGATTCATCCGTAGTAACTGTATAGTTAACAAAGCTACAAATAGCTTTTATACACAGATGTTCTTCTTTCAAACTATTCGCTAGAGCCAGAAAGACGTTGTTTATTCCAGGAACAATTCGGTCGTGTAAAATACGCATTGCTTGCGTTGACAATTGAAACTGCGTATAGTTTTCTGGTGGCAGTTTGCTATTAAGTAGCACAATTAGGTTTAGGTTAACATAAAGCTAAGATATTCATATACATTGATATGCGAGATTACCTTCTGATATAAATTAAACACCTCCAGAATTCTTCCATTTGTTCCTCATCTTTTACAATAACCTTTGCGTAACATTTGGTTATATCGAGCAAATGGGCCACATAAAATCTAACGATAGCCAACTGTCGTCCTAGCTGTTTGTTGCTTACTATGTCCCTATTTGTCACGTCTAAAAGAGCTAAAGATGACAATAGTTTCGCGTAATTTTTGTGGAGTTCACGACATAAACTGCGTAGTACAGGTGACAGCTATACATGCATATATTTGTATGTTAGCATTATGAAATAGAAAAAACGCAAAGCAGATGAAGAATAGTTCGAAACCGTTATCGCTTCCTGAAAATATTGGCAATCGCATTGAGCGGATAATTTGACAAAGTATTTCCATGAAAGATTGTACCATTGAAAGTCAGCAGCAGCAATATCCGCTATGGTGATAAGAGTGTTGCAAACTATAATAGAAATACCGTGAAACTTGCTTCTTATTATAGTACTGTAAAATCAACTAGCAAATACCATTGGCAATATCACGATATAATGACGGCTTCCTATCATCCTTAATGGTGCCGATATTTAGGGTATAGTCCAAAAGGAATAGAAGATATTTTTCCAGCGTCGAGTGAGCTTTTCTTAACCAATTAGATATTTCTTGGCTGAGATTGTCGTCATTAATAAATTCCGTGCGACCCAGCAGGTGCTATATGGCAAAGAACGAGCTTTAGGTGATTGTTGAATTGCACTACTTATAGCGTATGAATGTAAAAACCAACCTTTGCAGTAATGAGTATACCTCGAGCAGACTTGATAGTGCAATTGCGTAGATAATCAAATAGACTCGCGTCTGAACTTTCTTGTGGATTAATAATCAATTCTGTATATTCGAATGACTGTTTGAATACAGAATGGGTCCTCGTTATGCAAGTGCATAACAGATCAAGATACGACATATGAAACTAAATATAGATAGATAGATAGAGGATCAGTTTACTAGAATATGATGGACTATACGCAGTTGTTAATATTAAACTACACTCACAGGTACAAATGTCAGCGAGATAGGGGCTGTAGTAGAAGTATCGGACAGCATTTCGTCCATCGTTTTCTCTAAATGGTTGGAATATATTTGCATCTAAACTTTGTAAGTGTCGGACTGAATCAAGAATACCGTAATGACTTTTGTCATAACATGATCAATTAATGTTGTCAGCTTACTTGCTGAAGTATTGAGTTCAAAATGTCCATGTTAGCTGATATATTGTCGTACTGTAATAACTTATTAACATTATCCAACGAAGACTTGCGGATGGAATATACGCATTGAGGACTTGCAGCCTCGTGAACGCTTAGAGTTAAGATGCGATATTGCAGATAAAAACTGATATAGATATTTTATATTTATAGGATATCATCAATAAGTTCAAGGCTTGTAAGATAGCATCATGGCTAAGACTTGCATTTTGAAGGCTATTGATGACCTTGTTAGTAATGTTTATTAGGTGTTCCTGTTGTTCGACGGTTTCTTGCGAATGCGACAACATAGTTTTAAGATTGTGAAGTGAAGACGCGATCGATTTCTTGTCGTATCACCCGTGTGCGACTCTAGTACCCGTGACGATGGAGAGCTTTGGGAACGCCAATAAAAATAGAGAATATTAATATAGCTTTGCACAGCACCCAAGTGCTGCACATTTGTATAATATCGATCTCTTATAATAAAGTATAGTGTCACATTCTGGATTGTCAAATAATATTCGCAAATATGTAAAGAAAGGGTCAAGTTGTTTTAGTTTCTAATTGATTCTACCACACAGCAGTTAATATTTTAATGCGGGATATGTCACTAAGTGTTGTATTGAGTTTCCCCCAGGAGTTTGAGCAATCGAATCGCTTGAACATGCGACAAACCTTGGAGCAGTCGAAAAATAAATGATAGTTTTTCATCTCTTCTATTTTGAAACCCGGGGTCGTACATTGCAATTACGCCCGAATCTGCAGGCTTGAATTTTAGGGTAGTACATCTTACACTCTACCCTGCCAGATTTATACTTTAAGGTATTATTGTCTTTGTATTCTATTTATGTATCTGTAAACACCCGAGCAAGATATAGTCTGCGGATACTCTTGGCGTTTTGCGATCCTTTATTAGTGCGGATACTCTTGACCACCTTTAATTATAATTCATTAGCTTGTTCTTTATCTTCACACTCTTTTATTATTTTTACCCTTTATTTTCTTGTGTGTATCTGGAATACACGGACTTCTAGCTCAGTATGCCGAAAACAAATCAATACGCAGACATAGACTTAGCCGCCTATAATAATAATAATAATAACGTTTTTGCACAAATCTCTGGACAAACGTTTCGTCAGAAATGGATTATACGATGCTTTGTTATCGCGATTTGTCTCTTGGTCTGGAACATAACTATCTACAACAGTAATGGAAATAACGTTGAATATGTCGAAGAAATAATATCAACAGATAGCTTTGATGAGGTGGTAAGTATATAGGACACTGATCAATAACGAGACTAGGATACCTCATTATTAATATCCTATACTTTTATCAATTATAGGAGACATTACAAAACTCTCAGTCTATTCTCGAAGTTGATGAAGTGTCTAGTATGACCGAAGAACGGATAAATCGTAAATATTGTGGTTCCTCCATATGTCGATTTATATTTCCATTTATCATAAGGGAACAAGAATCAAAGGCACGGGAACACTTGAGAAACATAATTAGTTTTGCCCAACGAACCAATCGAGTAATAATCTTACCTAATGTTGGTAATGCAAGACTGGGTGGATGTATGTCTTTTTCGTTTGATTATTATTACTCTATCGAATCGCTTCGACGAAGTTCTCCGAAAACCGTGTTTATCACGCAGGATCAATTCCAATCGTGGAACCAGGAGATGAGCGAGATTAGAGCTAGAAGACCCACTGCAAAAGTTGTCTTACTAAGTAGTCAGAAGTCTGAGCAAAACCAAGTTGCATCGGAACAGCTTGATATCAAGAGACTAAAGAAACGGTTCTGCTTGCAACCATTTGACTATCTGAAATATCACGACGAAGATGAACAAATCGCTACGGCTCTTAGTTTAATGACGAGTCGCGAGTCCGTTTGGTCCAAATCAGCCGCTTGGCGGGCTCAAGTCGCACAATTTATCATCGATAATCTTCTATCTGTTGAATCGGATGTCTTGTTGCTATACTATAACCTCAGATATTCTTGTCTTCGTGATCTGCCTGCTCCAGTTGAATATGCTGATCATCTAGTCGAGCGGGCAAAGGCCGCAGCAGCTTCCCTGCATCCATATGTGGCTATTCATTGGCGGATGGAGAAAGTCGACTCAACTAAGCTGCCTGAATGTAGCTATGATCTCGTAAATTATATCCAGCAGCTTAAGAAAAAGAATGGAATAAGTAACGTATATATCGCTACCGATTTCCCGATTGATGGCGGCGTTCTGCATTCAGGGACATTTAGAAAATTTACTGATAATCATCATAAAGCGGCAGAAATACTCAAAAGCAATATAGACTTCCGTACTTGGATGCATTTTGAAGCTTCTCTTCCCCATTTGAATGATACAAAGTTTTTAGCAAGAGGCAAACGCATTCCTGTTAAGAATAATGGATCGGGGGTATTGGGAATTTTAGATAAGATAATTCTGACAAACGCTGATTGGTTTGTAAGTGGTCCAGCTGAATGTAGTAAGAAAACTAGTTCTTATACTACACAGGTTGCAGCAGAAAGACTTGCAATCGTAAGAAAGAAATCTGCTAGTGGGTTTGGTAAGGGGTCAATAGAGGTTGGCTTTTTAAATATATGGGATCGGTGGTAGAAATAAAAAAAGTACACATAGATTAGAGAACACAATAAAGTTACGGCTTAATATGCAAAACCAAAAAAAGTACGGCGTCATTCAAAGTAAACCTTTTAAAGAAGTGCCTATTACTATATAACAATAGTACCACGTGAGCATGCTATATAGCTCGATATACGATTCATTTGAATTGGAAGTCTTCGCTTAAAATCACAACAGTTAATTACATTGCTCTGTATCTCCTCCTAAACTAAATATACAGTCGAAGCTCGTTATAATAGAGGATTCCCGTTCGAATTCAGTTGTATTATTTGATCGAATTAATTTGTTCGCGTCACCCAGAGGCATTAAAGAGGATCCAAGAAGACCCCAAATTTCAATGGCCATTCGTTGTTCATGAATGGGGATTGATAGACCATCAAGAGTTGGATCATATTCCAGATGATGACCAGAGACGTTAAAAAGGAAATTGCAGATAGAGTTTTGGATGGAATAAATGAAAACAGAAAACGATAAACCAATATTTTAAATTAATATATTATTACCAAGCTTCCGAGGCATTCAAAAATATGCTGAAAGGTTTTTTCAATCAATTAGTAGCTGGTACTAACCCGCAAGCCAAGAGTCATGAACTAATAATAAAATTAAGAAACGATTAGTTTGATTTTGTTACTTTAGGGCTTAATAATAAATTTATTAGTATTAACGGAGTTAAGTCAGATCAGACTTTTACTAGATGCATCTTCGTCTGTAATAGCTGGTGCGTATAAGGCGAATGACTATTGCAATGCAGAAAGCTCGGTACGCAGAAGGGCATACATTACGAGTGCTTTTCGTTTCAATTAGAAAGTCAATGTACTGCATATCTCGTGGGATCGAGAACAGCTGTAAAATTTATCAGAGAACAGAGTTCATTCGATCGATGCCTACAGATGAGAATACAGATGAGAATACACAGGGTCGAACATTACGGAAATCGATGATGATAATACTGGCGATGAAGACTTTTATCAGATGACAATAATATAGACCTGCTTTTTGCAAGAGCTCTAAATACTTTAGCAAGTGTATAAGTTTAAGAAGGCTAGATAACAGTTCGTTTATCATCCATCATTATTATTGATAATTATTTTATTACTATTATTATTATTCGTCAATAAAATTCAACCAGAGAAAGTTTGCTATGCTAGCTAATATTGAAGTAGATAAATATCCCGAGACGTCATCCTAAATGCACATGACGTCAGATGTTCACTTTGTCGAGAAATCTTTATTATAATGGCCAACTTCGTATTCTCTCCACTCAGTCTTATATACAGGACTCGATTTTCTACAGCAGACGTTTACATTTTCGACATAACCGCTAATTCTTCCTCTTACATAGTATCTGGGTCACAAAACGAAATAAAACTATATGATCGTCAAACTTTAAATAATACTCGAGTACTTCCTTTTCATAAAGAACCCATTACAAAAATAAAGAGTCAAGGAGATTTCTACTTGATTTCAAGTTCAAAGGATGGTCGCATCGCATTCTGGGACTTGAGGGTCGCCAATGAGCCTTCGATAGTTTATCAAGGTAAATGATATATAATGAGCTTTTGACAGTTGATATATATAATATACTAACTGCCATTCCTATAGCAACGCATGCTGAGCCATTGCTGTCTTTCGATGTTAATTTCTCAGAAACGCTTCTCGCGGCAGGAACTGAGCTTGTTGCAGAGGATGCCAAAATTATCTTTTGGTGAATACACTTGTGATTGCTACATACGAAATTTGATGTATAAAACTGTTAACTGTAGTGTACTGATATTTGGGCTTACCTGATAAACAGGGATATACGTGCTTCATCCATAATAACCGAATTCACTGAGTCACATAGTGACGATGTTACCAATCTTCAATTTCACCCAATATCTGCTTCTCGTTTGTTGACGGGAGCAGAGGATGGAATTGTGTGTAATTACGACATAAGTAATTTTGATGAAGACGAGGCACTAGTCTCAGTGATAAATTCTGAATCCACGGTACATAAAGCTGGATACTTTGGTCCGCAAGGCGAATATGTCTATTGCTTGACGCATACTGAAACATTTGGTCTGTGGTCTATAGAAAGCGACGCCTTGTGTAATTTTGGAGATGTTAGATCGTTCTCATCACATGGAGTCTGTTCGATCGACTACATAATTGATTGCTATTATAATAATAATACGCAAAGACTATATCTATTAGGAGGATCCAACGGGTAAGCAACCGGTTGCATAACATAAGTATTATTATGCGTACACACATATTTCTCATTACCCTTCGTTGATGCCAACAGAGGAGATATTTCCATAATACATGTAGTTGTGGATGAGTTGCAATTTTGTCAGGTGCTGAAAGGCGGACATACTGAGGTTGTTAGAAGCATCTGCTGGGATCCTGAGGTGAGCCTGGTACTATCATTTGAAGGCATAATCAAGTGAATCTTCCGCATAACCCCAAGTGTGGCGTGTTTTGTCTATTTCTTCTCTTTTCGTTTTAGATAAATACGCTGTTATCCGGAGGAGAAGATTCCATGTTATCTTTATGGGCGACAATATAAACGTATCATCCATGATATCGTAGCCCACCTTATTGCGATGTCAATGTTATTTTGACTACTGAAACTAATACTACGCATGGACAACGTTTGATCACATACATAGAGATATTAGAAGTACAGGAACTACACAAAAACGTCATCTTACAGACATTTATCGTTTTCACTTGCAGAGAATCTTTACGATGATCAGTCAATAAACCAGTCTAATCTTATGTCTATTCGTACAGTAAGATCTATTTTAATTGGTGCTCGCAGACGAGTCACAGCACTCAATTGTTCATGTTATTCGGTTGCGTCTGTCATCGTCTGATCCTGGCTGCTGGATGATTTATCTACTTGCTGTTTCACAGTTTCCACAGACGGACCAGCATCGCCTGGATCATCGTTATTTATAATCCGCTTGGCGTGTAAGATATAGCCGCCACCGCCGGATATAGTCATCTCTGGATGTGTACGTCCAGGCAATACCTGCGCAAGCAACGCACAAAGTCATTGAATGAACACAAATACGAGACGCTGACTTTTATAATTAGGACTCACCTGATAATTGCGTAACCAACTCTCTGTAATCTCGGGGTTAATACACTGTTTAGACATTCGAAGATAAGTAAATGCATCTACAAGTATCTAATAGACAGTATATTATTATGAGGTTGATGATTGAAAATAATACATCATAGTGAACAGTGAACGTTAATCGTTCTCCCCTACCTCTTTGTGTATAGAATATATTACAATTGGTCTCGATCCGGCTACGTAGGGAAGCAGGGCTTCTATAATCGACTTTGGTTGATATTGACTGGCAACTAGTAACCTATATTGCAATATTAGTAAACCAAAAGTAGCTGAAAAAGATCTCAAATTTCGCGTAGAAAACGCCATACATACCCATCAAATTCCCCTTGCCAAAGAGCCTGTCTTGCATCATTAAGTCTTTCGTATCGCATCTTCTTACGTAAATAAAATTCAAGGTCTTTCTCTTCTAACTTAGATTCATCTTTATATAAGAAATCCTCTGTTTGCAGCAGAGATATAATTAATTAATTTATTGATTACCAATAAATATTAATATGCATACTTACGCTCATTGTCCTCTTTAAAGACCTGTATCCATGACAATGTCTTTAATGAGTCAGCAATCTTCTTAGTAAAATTCATGTACTTTACTATATCATAATTAGGAGTCTCGTGTTCATGAATTCCCAAAACCAAACCATATCCTTTGATTTAAAAATTTCTTTTGGTTACGTTGAGTTGGACAAAGAGATTGGTCAAATAGAAGACCTCGTACTCAATATGACCAACAGACATCTCCAGAAACAGAGATCATATACCTCCAAGTCTCTCCATTACCCCGGAAATCAACATTCCCCGAACATCATCTATTACAATATATTTGGCATTCGCATGCACGTTGGCCAAAGTTAGGATCTGAGACAGTGTGTCTATACGAAGATCTCTGTGCATATAAATAAGAATCAAAGTGAGTATAGTCGTGACCATATTTAATATCATAATTATACGCGAAACCAATCATTACCTTATTTTCTCTGAGCGATTATTATAAACATAGCTCCATACCGAATACAATGTTGGCTTAACGGGTGTAAATACTTTTGAGAACCTATCAAGAAATTGGATTAATTCATATATATAAAAGCTCTTCTCATCCGATATACATACTTCGCTTCTTTACGCTTGATATACTTTGCCTTGGAGTATTCTGTCTTTTTATTGAAAGTCGAATGACCTTCAACGACCTTCTTAATAATTTCCTATAAATGCAGTTAAATTTATCAAGCACGTATGACACAGGAATCGAGGCTAAAAACAAGACATACTTGTCCGCCCACTCCTTCTTGCTTCATTCTTTCGATTTCTTCATGAGATAAATTCTGTTTTGCCGGATCATCCACAATCTCCCTATTATTCGCTTCAGTATCGTCTTTTCATCGAAGCAAATATCAGACTCAAACAGACATTCCTACAGCATACTACACGCAAAAATTCACATACCAACTTCGACAAATGCAACATTCTTTATAACCTTGGCTTTCGTTCCCTCATAAATTTCATATGAGTATCCGTAAGGATGTCCGATAATGCTATTGGTATCAAAATTGCCAAACTTGCCGAGAGATACTTGGCTAAATTGAGCATTATAATTAATTCATAACTCCACCAAGTAAGTCATGAATATGAACGTACGTGTCTTTCTTGAGTCTTACTGCTTTAACATTTCCACTCGGCATTTTCAGAAATACAAACTGATCAGGACGAATGATATGAGAATCTTCGCCAACCTCTTGCTGACTCTGCCCCTGATGTTCGGACAACGACTGTGGCCCTTCAGCAAGTTGGATTTCCATAATTTCAAATCACAACATAATATCGATAGACTAACAGGATTAATTTGAAGCAGCCTGTCGACGTTAGCTAGGTTATGACCAATCAGGTATGACGTGTGGATCACAAAACTCAAGTCATTTGAGTGGTACCCTTTAGAAAGTCAAATTCGATATTGATAATGTTTTAATCACTTATATAAAATTTCGTATATCAGCTTAATGTT